CCCCCTTCATCCCCCCGGAAACGACAACAAGGCCTTCCCAGTTTCAAAAGCATGTCAGAGCTAAGCCCCTCCTAGAGGTGCCCCCGATGTCAGGATTCCATCCTACTTTCTGTTTAGGGTTTAGGGTTTGGTTCGGGGTTTAGGGTTTAGGGTTTAGGGTTTAGGGTTTCGGGTTTAGGGTACTTGCGTAAACCCCCATGTCAGGAATCCTTCCATGCGGGCCAAGCTGCCTCGCCAGGAGTCCCCGAAGGTTTGCATCCTGATGCAGACTTCCAAAACCAAGTAGGTTTCGGGTTCGGGTTCAGGGTTTAGGGTTTAGGATTTAGGGTTTAAAGTTTAGGGTTTAGGGTTTATGGTTTAGTACTTGCAAGCGATCAGTGACCAACATGGGATTTCCACGGTCATACGGGTCCAGCCACAGAAGACTATGTACACTACCAGAAAACCTAGACAACCACATGCACAAAAAAACACTGTTACAACTGCGGAGACTTCAAAAACACCATCGCCCGAACATGGCACGGGGTTTGAGCCCCAAGATGTATGAGGGAGCTCAGCCAAAAACATGCCTTGAGTCCCAAACACCTTGCTTGTTTAGCTTAACACTCGAAAGGAAGCACTTGTGGCTGCAGCTGGACTTGTATCCTAACATGTGAACCCTACATGTTCAACCTCCTCAACGCTGACTCCCTCACCTGAAGACTGTTGGCGGTGAGAGCTGCGGTTGCACCTGCCTCGGCTGCAGGGGTTTTTTAGGTTCAGGCATTAAGGTTATAGGGTTTAAGGCCCTCAAAACAAGACTCGCATACTTACCAGTGGTCATGCACGCGGCGACTGCCATCTGATTTCGCCCAGATTGGAGCACTGGCCCAGCTTGCCCAGCGGCGAACTGGTAGGACGAGCTGGGCTGAGGCAGGTGGGGAGGTCAGGGCGCCCCCCCCCCCCCCCCCCTGCCATAATCCCGGCTTGTGAGGCCGGACCTGTGACGTCGATAAGCATCGATATGGGGAGACCGTGCTTTTCGCGATGCCTTCATGCGCCCAGATGACTGTGCCAAGAGCACACTATCAGGATTCTGATGGTGGAGTGGCGGGGCATCAAAAGCATCAAGTTGCGGAACTAGTCAGAGACCTCAGACAGGTTTTCATGGACGGGCTTAGAGGGCTCCCAACTTCAGCCTACCCCTACCTGGCCACTTGGTTGACCGGGTGCGGGTTTGCTGCCTGCACGGGGCTATAGGTCCCTGCACAACAGCACACCCCACCCAAAGATCCCGAAAGATAAGTCGACGGAATTGGGGTTGAGGGATTCTGCGAATACTTGGTTACTGTAGATGCCCCACCCAGGATACCGGCATGCCTCGCAACCGCAGGCAGCGAGAGCACGCACGAAGCACGAAGGGTTTGCCAGTGACGGTGAAGGGGACTTCCGTGCCCGTAGGCAAAATCCTAGATGCCCCGCTTGCCTCCCTTGGCCGGTTTGACCCGGTGAGGCAAGTGGCAAGGCAGGCAAAGAAAGGGAGCAAACGGAGTTTTCCGGCTGACTACTTATAACCATACACTTCTAAACCACCACCAAGTCGGGCAAAGTGCGGCACACGCGACGACCGGGTGGCAAATAGAAATATAGGGCGACAACCGACGAGTACCGGCTGCGACCCTTCGTGCTTTAAGGAGCAGATGCCGGGTTTCTTTCTGGAGTGAATTTGACTCGCGCGGCGGAGCACAGTGTGCCATGAAGTAACTAGCTATAGGACCAGTGTACTGCACTCCCGGGACACAACCGTGAGTCACGAGCTTGAAATGTGTTAAGGTTTGGGGTTGTGTGTTTTTTGACACCAATGAACTCTTGATTTGTTTCCCCTCAGGTCGGCCCATGGAGCGTGAACTTTGCATAGATTAAACCCCCTCAACCTGGAACAAGAAACTTCAAGCGACCGATGCAGCTATGGATGCCGAAAACCGCGACATGCATCCAAATGTGCAACTCCCTCTTAACTTTCTCCCCTTCAATCGAACTGACGTCAACGTTGAAAGATCAGTTGCGGTGGCAGTGGCGACTGTGATGGCTGTGAGACCACGGTAAGGCTGTTGCCCTGGGAGGATGCGATTGTTTTCATGTTTGCTCGAGCTTGATTGGGATTCAAGGGATTGGAATTTGGGGGTGATACGGGGTTCAGGTCATGGGCTTCCTGGTTTCAGAGGGCTTTCGGGATCGAGGGTTACCTTCGGGCTTGCTGTCGCAGTTGATGATCGGAATGGGGGGGGCGGGTGGAACTTGCTAGGAACCCTGAGAGTTTTTGCCGATTCCCTGGCGGCGTTGTTCTACGATCCAAAGACGCGATGTGAGCCATCATCCTGAACACCTCCCTCCACACCGCGGAAGGCACGTCGAACTCTGGCCTGCGTCCTGTATGTCGCAAGGACCCGTCGAAGACAACAGGTATTTACGGTGGTCGCCGGGTTTTGCATGTGGCAAGCCTTGTTTATTGCCAGCGCTTGGAAAACATCGTCGTTGACAGCGTTTCAGCTTTGTCAACAACGAAGCTTGTGCTGTTACGATGCTCTGTAGGCACTACCATCCATGCCTGGTCTGAGGGGAGCTTATTCATGCATGAGGCCTGACGCTTCTTCAATCATGCATGAAGTGTTGCAGGTGAGGGTTCAGGGCCACATACCCTGGAACTTGTACACTAAACCCAAACCCTAAACCCTAAACCCTAAACCCTAAACCCTAAACCCTAAACCCTAAACCCTAAACCCTAAACCCTAAACCCTAAACCCTCAGCCCTAACCTTGGCCCTAAACCCTAAACCCTGAACCCTAAACCACCATGAAATCTTTGGCCGGACGCTCGCCTGGCTCGTGGTACCAACCGGGATCGCTGCGCTCGCAGGTCTGGCAACCATGAACCTGACTTCTCGGCTGTGTGAATGACTTATCGAAACTTCACACACGTACAGACAGACAGACATACATCTACATACGTACATCTACATCCATAATTACACATACACATACACATACACATACACGTACACGTACACGTACACGTACACATACACGTACACATACATACACTGACTGCAGCCCAGACACTGTGCCACAGGCTCCGAGAGCCTACAGAATGCTAAAGAACAACGGGTGAGTTAGGAATGTGGCTGTTGGGGAGTCGGATTCCATGCTTGGAGGAATTCAAATTTCTGCGTGGGTGGGTCAGGGTTTGCCAAGTCTCAAGAACTCTAGCAAGACGAAAGGATGAGACAACTCGGTTCAAGTCGGACCGGAGTGCCTGGGAACCGACCGGTCTGCTCCACAGATGCCAGGCACCTAAGTGAAAAGCCCAAAGCATAGGCCCGCCTTGGGTTTAGGGGTTAGGGTTTAGGGTTTAGGGTTTAGGGTTTAGGGTTTAGGGCAACTTCGTTCAACTGACAGTCTACCTGCAGCCCTGAAATCCCACAACTTGTACTTGAACCTCTGGGAGAGGCTTCTGGGGGGGGGGGGGCGCCTGTGATATCCAATGATATACCCCTAAACCCTAAACCCTAAACCCTAAACCCTAAACCCTATACCGCAGCTCTTGACATCGGCTTGATCAACCTTGTCAAACCACATGGGGCGGGTTTACGCAAGTAGGAGACTTTCGACCCCCCAAGGTGATCACCCCAAAGAGTAGGATTCCGTTATTGATAAGGACCCCCCCCCCCCCCCAAAAAAAAAAAAAAAAAAAGGTACCCCTTATTTCGAAACCCCCCCCCCCCCCCCCCCCCCATATATTCAACCTACAGACCTGTGCAGACCTGTGGAACCTACATGGCGGATCTGTAGACTCCTACATGGGCATTTATACCCTGTAGCCCCTTAAAACGGCCCTTTTATAGGGTTGGTTAGGCGAGTTCATCAAGGCCCAGTAGCCCATGCTGGCTATGCTGCAGACGAGATTCGGCCGATGAGAATGGTGGCGCTGCCTGTGGGCCGAAGCCAGGCGCCGACGATGGCGGCACCCCTGACAAGAGAGCTTATAGGGCATGTAATATAGGGGCCTTAAGAATTAGAATAGGGTTTTGGAGGGAAGTATGGTATACTTATAAAGGGACCATAAGGGAATACTAATACTATTAGAAAAAAATTCGACCCCTATAGTAGGTGTTCGGGAATCCTCGAAGACTAGAGGTGTTGCAGTGGGCTGCGATTTAGGATGCTTGGTTCTTTGTAGCCAGGAGCGACGAAGGTCTGAAGAGCCTTGCGTTCGGGCATCTGGGATTCAGGGCTTTAGTTCGCAGGGTCGAGGTGGCACACCTCAAAACACGAGACCAGCACAACCGCCAATCATCTAAACCATGCCAAGAACAAAACTGTCGCACATTCATGAACTGAAGGCGTAAGTTGCAATGAGAACTCGCAGCTCTTTCTTGATGAGGCTTGGGCGCCGGATCAACTCTTAAACACCTCCGAACCTCGTTACTTGTGCTAGAACGGGCCGCCTCGCCAGGTATCTCCCACAGTATGCATCCTTCGCTCGGCACATGATCAGGGGAGTTGTCTCCATTTCATGCCAGGTTTCTGGTGTTCAACCTTAGGGTTCGAGGTGCTTTCGGAATGAAGGCGTGCACTTTACGTATACAGCACATTGTACAGCTGTTAATGGGATTCTTTGTGGTTTGTTCAACGTGTGTCGGCCTTATGAGCTTTCGGATGTTTTCGGCCTTGTTAGTCGATCCGTTGTTGAAATCAAACAGCTCTTATCAAGGAAAGCTCGAACAGCTCGTAAGGGTCACTGTTCAGTTTTGGTTTCACACTGAGAATAGGTCACTAGGCATGTGGCTCCTCCAAGCTCTGAAGAAAATTGCAGCTTGAAATGATGCTTCCTGCACCCTCTGACAGCTCTTGTCGTCTCTCTCCGGAAAGCCAAGCGACTAAGCGTTCAAGTCCACTTGCTACTACTGGGGGTCGAGACATCCCTAAACCCTAAACCCTAAACCCGAAAGTGCACGACCTGGCCTAAAGACTGTAGGCGGTGACAGCTGCTGCTGCTGCTGCTGCTGCGGCGCGATTGCCACTGCGAGGCCTCACCAATCCCAAGCCATACACAAATTTGCGGTGTCCAGACTTAGACCAGCGACAATCCCACATCATGGAAGGACCAATAAATCATCTTCCAGGGGGACGCCAAGAGGCTGTTGCCCTGATTTGCCGGCACTGGTATGGTCGCGCTCGCTGGCCTTGGCATAACGTACCTGGGCAAGACAGACCACGTAACTTGAAAGAGTCTGGAAGTGTCTGGAGTGGAGTGTCGAGATATTGTGCTCATCGAAGAACCAGGACAGAGATTTGTTAACAACATTTGAACATCAGCTGGAGAAAGAACTGTTGGACAGTTCGCGTGCAAGATGAAGATTAGGGATTCGTGTTGGGGGGGGGGGGGTTAAGGAGTCATATCTGCGCAATTGCGCAACAATCTCACCGCAAGCTGCGCCGAACTCTACGAACCAAACCCACTTGAAGCTCCGAGTGAGTCTCCTCAAGCACAAAACAAGACATCGCGTGCATCTTGGGGTGTTTCCCCCTTTTGAACTAACCGCCCTTGATGTAAGGACTAGCCCTTATAATAAGGATTCTAACCGAGGTACTAGAATTCCCGATTAGAAGGACTCGCCCTTCATAGGATTCTGATCGAGGTACTAGAATTCCCGATTACAAGGACTCGCCCTCAATAGGGGTTCTAATCGAGGTACTAGAACTCCCTACTATAAGGACTAGCCCTGATAATAGGGCTTCCGTAAACCCTAAACCCTAAACCCTACACCCTCAACCCTGAACCCTAAACCCTAAACTGTACTAGAATTCCCTTGTAAGGACTGTTCGTATAAGGGGGAATATCCCAAGGTGCATCTCGCATGGCTTGGAGAAAGCAAGCGAAAAGAACAAGCCCTAAACCCTAAACCCTAAACCCTAAACCCCTAAACCCCTAAACCCTAAACCCTAAACCCCAAGCTGTAAACCCGAAACCCTAAACCCCAAACCCCAAAACAACGAAGAACCAAACCGAGGGTCGGAGTGAAGAATCGCGTCACCTGCGTCGTTGGCACCTTCGGCTTCTGTAAGAGCATAGGGTTTAGGGTTTAGGGTTTAGGGTTAGGGCATAGGGTTTAGGGTTAGGGCATGGTTTGAAATTATTTTTGACAGATGCTTCGATAGGGTATCAGTTGCTGGGCAGGAGTTTGAGCTTCCTGGTGAACATAGTTCTACATCTGAGTAATCGCTTCCCCCTTTTACTAAAGACCAAAAAATCTATTTAAAACCCATTTTGAATTTAGGGGGGGGGGGGTCAGGCCTCCAATAAACCCTCAAGTTGAAAACCCTCAGAGGGTTTAGGGTTTGGGTTTTTCTCTCTGTCAGTGATTGCTTGAGTAACCCTAAAGTCTAATTAATTATGACGTTTCGACAAAGACCTCCCCCTAATAAAAACAAAACACATTTCGAGTTTTTATTGGGGGGGGCCGTTTAATATTAGGGGGAAGGGATTATATACATCGATAGACATAAAGCTACAGGCTTGAGCAATCCTCGGCTTAAACAGGCGAAGCCAATGGTGGATGGTAGCTGTATCTCATGCGGAGGTTTGGGGTTCTAGGTGGCGCATGAGGGACAGGTCCCTAAGGGGCGCAACGTGTGCCTCTACCTTCGGAGCCCGATTCCAGGGCAAGAGCCACGAACACCACATTCAAACAACCTTAGGCCAAGAGTGTGTCGGGTCGTATCATGGCACTAGAGGGTACAATGTGTATTTAGCTGTACACTTGCAACCCGTCTTACATCTCCCACCTGCAGAGACTTCCCACACGGCATCGTGAAGGTTGCGGGTGGGAACTGCGCAGCCTGGCTACGATGGCGGAGCCATGGGTTACAAAGGCTATAGGTTGCCGGCCAAAGTTTAACTGTGACGGGTGGGATCTCGGACATTTAAATACGGGTGTTGAAGTCCAAGGCATTTTGCCTGAGTGGGCCTGCTGGTCCCTGGGTAAGATGCAGCTACAATCTTAATTATCCCTCAACCCTAGTTAAACCCTAAACCCTAAACCCTAAACCCTAAACCCTAAACCCTAAACCCTAAACCCTATGCTGCAACTCTGAGGTCGAAGCTTGGCTTATAGGCGCTGTTGCGATGGCTCTCGCGGCTTTCCAGCGGCTTTATGTGCATGCAGTCAGCTTCACTTTTTAGGGTTTAGGGTTTAGGGTTTAGGGTTTAGGCGTGTCGCGGAGCAAAACAGCAGAGTCCAGTTTTGGGGGGCGGGTCAGGAGGTCCCTGCGGCCAAGAAGCCCCAGCGATCGGCTCCATTATCCTCAGTTCCAGTCGCGAATCCAGCGCCAACATGCTAAGCAACACATATGACAGCAGGGCTAAATACAGGTTCATGTTGAGTTGGCAGTTTCAATCGCACCGACAACGAAAAAACAAAACGGAACTCAACCATGAGCCCCATCAACCTAAAAACGCAAAGCCGCAGGAAAAGATGAAAAAAAAAAACAAAAAAAAACAAGTAGGGCAGTGGGCTCGTGCTATAAGATGTCCAAAAGTTCCGGTCTCAGAGGGAGATTTTTTTATGGGAAGATTACAGAAGATAACACCACTGAACTTGGTTTTGCAACCTCGGTCAAAATTCAGAAACCCTGTGTGCAGGAATGTAACACACACGAGACAAACAGTGTGAAATTGGAGGGGGCGAAGAGTCGGATTCGGAGTCCTTCTTGGTTTGAGGTGCGGACCGACAAGTCAGTTCGAAGGTGTACCTGAAACCCTAAACCATGAAGCTTGGTAAGTTCGAAGCCGTTGCTCTTCAAGACGCTGCTGTGTGATTGAAAGGCTGCGCGGCCACAGATTCGTGAACGCTTTTTGCTAGCTCCGCGAACTACACTACAAGCAACCATAGTCAAATCACATGAAGATGTGACAATGCCTTGTCAGGCCGAGTGCCTGAAACCCGCCAACCTTTGAGACCAAGGCCCCCGCACCCTCCCAATGAACCCCAAACCCTAAAACCCTGAACCCTAAACCCCAAACCCTAAACCCTAAGCCCTAAGCCCTAAGCCCTGAACCCTAAACCCTAAAACCTGAACCCTGAACCCTAAACCCTAAACCCGCAGCCCTGCTATCTCCAGGTGCGAGAATCATCTGTGGCTTCGCAGACGGCTGTGCCGGCTGTGCAGTCGTGCAGATCTTGGCTGGAGCCTGCTTTGAGTGCCCCGGGTTTAGGGTTTAGGGTTTAGGGTTTAGGGTTTAGGGTTTAAAGATGCAGTCTTCGTCGGCTGGACAGCAGGATGGTGCTCCATAGTATGCCAGCGCTCTTTGCGAAGTTTGTCCCCGCAGAACCAGCTAAACCCGAAACCCTGCAACTTACAAGCCTTTCTCCGAACCTAAGGCTGAGCGTGTCCTTCCTTGTGGAGCCTTCCGGCAACTGGGCCTCACTTGCATCCGACCCTTGAACCCATAGCCGCCCGCCACGCAACCCAACTTCAATCTGCACCTCCCTGACGACGGCAACCATTCACTTAAACACAAAACACGCCTTCGCCTCAACTGCAGGCGGCGGGGAGGACTGCGGCAGCCTTTGAGACGGTCAAAGCTTCATGTTTAGGGCTTGAGGGGGATATTTCTTGCGTCAGGCTTAGTGCGAGCAGCCATCATTGTCCTAGCCAAGACTGGTCTCAGTTCTCTCTTGGCAAGGAAGCAGCGCAACAGGACTTTGGCCTCGCATCACTTCGAGGTCCTTTTTGGGTTAGTTCTAGGGGATTCTAGTATACTACCCCAAAAAGGTACTGCATAGGAGCCTTTGGGTAAGCTCTAGGTGGAGATGGTGGCGAGAGCACGACAACCTGAGGCCATACAGCCTCTATGAATTCTACACGCCTCTTCTTGTAACAAGTTATGACATCGAAAAACTTAAACAGGCGAACCGTATCGGCCCAGAGACCTCCTGTACCTATCACACCCTCAAAGCCAAAAGGCCTCCTGTGAAGCGATTGCTGGTTTCTACGCAGCTACTGGTATGTGGCACTTGATGAAAATATCTGTTCCCAGAACAACACCATATTTCCAGCATAAACACATGAGGAAGGTCTTTGAGATCAACCCCCATGTTGTCGGAATGCCGACTATGTTCAGCCTGCGTCGTCACCTATGCAGTATGTTGACGCCGATCATTTCTTGCGGACTCTGCAGGCAAAACGCGCACTACTCGCTACTCGCTTTTGATGAGCGCGCTACCAGTACTGAGAATTACCAGCTATAACTGACAACTTTGTTGCATAAGAAAAGGCTTGTCTGCGCAGGCTGGGTGCGATAAGATGTCCATGGCCGAACAAGTATACAAAGCGAGCTGCGCGCACTATGCAGCTATTTAGAAACTTATTGGCTTTTCGAGCCGATGCCCCTGGCGAGGTCCAGAAATTAGGAAGCTTGAGCACAGGAAAATATTGAACCTGAGCATGGATGGAATTGCGCTGAAATATGGCCAGGCTCGCACGATTCAGCTTGACAACTGCGGAACATACGGATGTGTAGAAATCAGTTTGTGTGCCAAGGCAGGGGCTGGTCAGGTTGTTTTTGTGCACTCATCTCAGAAACACCAGCACATGCTGAAGTTATGCCCACAATGCCGCCGAAAATTGCCAAGAGGCGAGGCGTCTGTGCGACCTGGCTGAACTGAGAAGCAATTTGTGGAGCTCGTATTCACTGGAACCTATGCCTGACTCGACTCTACCACCAGCCGACAGCATCGCTGTTGCATGCACTGGCTCACCGCTTAGTCTATGGCAACACTTCCCAAGCACAGAGACTGCTTGTTCGGGATTTGGGGAGCTTTCGGCGCTGTGCATACAAGCGTTAGGAAGCGAATCATTCCCATCTACTCCACAACTGCATTTGCGTTTGCGTTGAACCGCTAAACAGCCAATGCGAAGTAGGGTTCGGACGGTTGAAGTTTCAGTGTTTAAGGAAGATTCCTGGAATACTGAAATATACTGAGACTCAGCGCAACAACCCCTTTCAGTTCCACTGAGGCCCAAGCCGGTCTCAGCTGCGGCCTCTGCGGTCCTGGCCCAACATCGTCTGGTGCGGGTGTGTGTGGGTGTGTGTGTGTGTGTGTGCGCGCGCCTTATTTCGTGGATCTGTGCAAGGTTTGGGAGCCTGCATCAGGCTAGCCTTTCGGATGTCGAGGCCTTATGTTTCACAGAACTTCGGGCTCTTTCGACAATTTGTGGTTGCATGAAGGTTGATCTTCGGAGTGGGTTTCGTCGGAAACCTAAAACAAATCCAGCGGGTCTGGAGCCTGACGGCCTGGATTCCTGAATATACAAACAAACAGCACGCGCTTGCACATCGACAGCAACAGCGTGGTCAAGTGCTGAACCATCGAATGCTTGATACCGTAAACGGTAGTTGTCAATATTGCTACCACATGACCAGACAAGCAAAGGGAAAACTCTGTGTGCGGACTGTTGAGCGGTCGCTGATTTGACTGCACAGCTTGCATGTGGAGTTGGAGAGTTCCGCTGAGTTATCATCTGCAACGTTCGTTTGCCTTAGCAAATCGAAGCGGCTTTTGGAATTCTCTTCCGTTCCCGGGTGACCTGGTGCTATCTTTCCTCTTCCTACATGATCCTCTTAAACCCAATAAGGGAAAACAGAAAATGAGGGTTTGCGAAAATAGGGGGCCCCTAACATTTCCTGTATGATGAGGACCCCAAGAAGGCACCTCCAATTTCGGAAACCTCCAAACGTCCCAGAGGCCTCCCTAAAGCCTACGCCCTAAACCCTGAACCCTGAACCCTAAACCCTAAACCCTGAACCCTGAACCCTAAACCCTAAACCCTAAACCCTAGATCCTAAAACCTAAACCCTAAACCCTAAACCCTAAACCCTAAACCCTAAACCCTAAACCCTACCCAGAGGGCATCCTCGGAGCGCCAGCATCAGGAAGCCGGCCGGAGGAAGCAGTGGAACCCGGTGCCTGAGGTGCCTGTGTGTGGGGGGGGGGGGGTAGGGTTTAGGGTTTAGGGTTTAGGGTTTAGGGTTAGGGTTTAGGTTTTAGGGTTTAGGGTTTAGGGTTTAGGGTTTAGGGTTTAGGGTTTAGGGTTTAGGGTTTAGGGTTTAGGGTTTAGGGTTTAGGGTTTAGGGTTTAGGGTTTAGGGTTTAGGGTTTAGGGTTTAGGGTTTAGGGGGTAGGGGGTTTAAGGGGTTTAGGGGGTTTAGGGGGTTTAGGGGGTTTAACGGCTTTAAGGGCTTTAAGGGTTTTGAGGGTTGAAAGGGGTTGAAAGGGTCGAAAAGGTCAAAAGGGGTTGATAGGGTTGAAAGGGTTTAAAGGTTTAAAGGGTTTAAAGGGTTTAAAGGGTTCAAAGGGTTCAAAGGGTTTAAAGGGTTCAAAGGGTTTAAAGGTTTCAAAAGGGTTTAAAGGGCTTAAAGGGTTTAAAAGGGTGAGACGGGTTTAAAGGGTTTAAAGGGGTTACAGGGTTTAACGGGTGTAAAGGGTTTAAAGGGTTTAACGGGTTTAAAGGGTCTAAAGGGTTTGAAGGGCCTAAAGGGTCTAAAGGGTTTAAAGGGTCTAAAGGGTTTGAAGGGTTTAAAGGGTCTAAAGGATCTAAAGGGTTTACAGGGACAAAAGTGTAAAGGGTTTAGAGGGTTTTAAGGGTTTAAAGGGTTTGAAGGGTTTAAAGGGTTTAAAGGGTTTAGGGTTCAGGGTTTCGGGCGCCAGGGACGCGAGCGAAATTTTTGAGAAATGGTGGAATTGAGAGCTGGAACCAGTCTTGTTGCAAACTACGAGAACATGAGGATAACCAACAGGGAAGCACTGATCTACACAGCTGCCAGATGAGTCTTGCTCCCATATATAACCCCTATATCCCTTATATAGTCCCTACATACCTAAATAGCCCCCAAATAACCCCCAAGGTCTCTTATAAGGGTCCCTCCTGTAGTCCCTTGACAGGTAGTACTGTGTACCACAGGAGCATTTCGGAGCTGAACGGCTCCTTGGCTTGAATGTCCGCACGTCCCTTCTTCTCTGTCCGAACTGCCCAAAAGCCCTCCAAGCCCATCCCTATAGGGTCCCATGGCTTCCCCCTAGTTCTTCGTAGGGAATGAGGGAATTTAGGGCTCTATACATATTCCCTGAAAAGGGTATATATATATATATATATATGGCCG